ACAGCCTTTCTGCTTCCTCTCCATGAATGATCATAGCTCTCTCTATGGGACCTTGAACTGGCAATAATCCCTGCTGAGTCAATCAGATTTCCTTCACCGAGAAATTAGATGACAAAGAGAATGACAGAGAAGAGAATATCTTTCTCAAGTTGAGCATCTAAGGGTCTCTTCAATGTCTTATGTTTTTGTTGTTTAAACAACCAAGTAAAACGGACAAATTTTTTAAAAAGAGAAAGAGGGCAGTATGAAATAAGAAAAAGCTTTTGAAAGGTTTTTTTTTGTTGTATGTTTTACCATCGCTGTGAAGTCAGAACAGACTCATAACTGACCCTCCAGTGGTTATTTTAGGGGCTGTAAATTGCACAGACAAGAGAAGGAAATACATAGAGTCTGGAAGCCTGGCAACAAAAGATGGAGGTGGCCAGGCTAAGTTTTCATATATATATAAAACCCTTCACCAACTTAACTAAATACTATAGCTTGTGGAGAGGGTTTAAAATTTGGAAGCAGGAGTGGCATTCACTTCTGAAACAACATGCCTCTGGAAACTCTCTGAACTTTGATAAATGTCGATAGTTGCAGAGGGACTTCAGGCCTTTTGTTCATAGGGTCACTATGAGTTGTGCTCAGCTTGCAGGCCACCAACAACAACAATATTACTTGAGGAAGTCTTTCATAGTATGTGACCTCTACTCAAAATCCCCCTCCTTTATATTTCTAAGCTAATTGCCTTTGAATCTGTTCTAACTCATTGTGTGTCAACTTCATGGACGTCAGAGTAGATCTATGCTCCGTAGAGTTTAAGTGTCTTATTTTTCAGAAGTGGATCTAAGTAAGGATGGTTTCTTACATTATATTTCATTTAATGAATAGCTAAACATGTGAAATGTGTGGAGCAGTATCTGGTACATGAAAGTAAACAGCATATAAATCAGCTGAATAATAATGGAATATGTCATATTTATCTGATTCTTAAATAAGCATTTTTCACATTTTACTATCTTTGGCATGCCAACTAAGGAGCTCCTCAAATATATTCAGGCCCTAGTCCCTTTGTGAGTGTTCTATGATATGGCAAAAGGGATTTTGCAGATACGATCAAATACATTAAGGACCTTAATCTATGGGGAGATTATTCTGGATTATCCTTATCTGGTCTAAACCTAAAGATAATCAGAATTGTTCTTGTAAAAGAGAGGCAGAGGAAGACTTAACTACAAAGGTGGAAGGCAGAGGCAATGTGATAACAGAAGCAGAAAGAGATTTGCAGATGTTGTTGCTGGATTTGAAGATGCAGAAAAGACCAATGAGCCAAGGAATTCAGTTGTAGAAAATTGAAAAAGCAAGGAAATGGATTCTGCCTTAGAGCCTCTAGACAGAGCACAATCCTGCCAACAGCTTTGTGCCAGCCCACAGCCCAGAGAAAATTATTTTGGAATATGGCTTTCCAAAACTGTATGCGAATAGATGTGTGTTGTTTTAAGCCACCAAGAGAGTGGTTATTTGTTTCAGCAGCCATAAAAAGTTAGGCAGCTTCTACCATAAATTCTGTTGTAGATCACTATGAGTTGAAGTTGATTTAATGACATGCGATAGTACAAAATTTGCTGGGGTATAATCTATCTTTTTCTATACTGTGGCTGCTTTATGTAAGCTTGAATTATTTGACCTTTGAGTGTATTTCTAACTCACTGGTACAACTATGTGGACTTGATTTTTTTATGGGAAGATTTTTCAGATTGCTCCAATTCCTTGTGGGTTATAGGTTTATTCACGGTTTTTAACTCTCCTCGACTTAGTAAGTTACTGAAAACAAACAAAAACAACAAACCAAAAACCCAGCTCATAAATTCACTTAAAAGACACTATTAAAAATTTTTAAA